CACGGAGCCCCTTCCGCCACATCATGCCCGTTTCCCGTCACTCTCTCAACTTCAGGGAGTGGAGCTACTATAGGCCAGCTTTGGGTCAGAGTCCCTGCTTGCCACAAGGACTTGATGATCACAGAAGGACCCAGGAACAGCTTAGCTCACTGATGAACCCCTACTTCTGCCGCTAACATTTACTGAGCCCAGCTGTGAGCCCTTAAGAAGCGCGTGAAAATAACACCGCGCAGAGGCTCTGCCTCTGCCTGGCAGCCGCCACTATTCTCCAAACTGCCTCCAGCTCAGTGGCACCTCCCAGGGCAGGGTTGCCGCTGACTTGACAATAGCCCTCCAGTGGACACTCAGGAGGGGGTCTGGGATGAACAGGCCAGTGCCATTTTATCCCGTAGCTTGAAGAGGATCCGTTGTTTGTCTCTGGAGTGCCTGGAATTTTCCAAATGACCACATGACTTTAAAACAGCTTTGATTTATTTTGCAACATGGCTCCTTTCCAATTACCCTTTGTTCTAATCATCCAAGAGGGATGCCTTACAAAATCTGAATACTGGTTCCTTTCCTTGTCACACTGTGGCTGGTAACCCCTCTTTATTTTTTTTCTTTTTCTCTTTTTTCATTAACTTAAAAAAAAAAAATTGAAACCAAACTGGTGTACAGTGTCTTTAAGATGTTTTCTTAGGCTCCAAGACTAGGATGAAGGTGAGAGTAGAATAATAAATGGAGGGAATCTCTTGCTGTGGGTAGTTTGTAAGTGCTTATCAACAAAGAACAGAAAGCTTTTTCTAAAACCATTGCTCGGGAGAAAAAGAAGTTATGGCCCATTATGCATTAGAGTGCAAGGTGTGTGTGTTTGGGTTTGTTTTTGTTTTCAGTGCCTCGAGTCAGGCAGTTGCCCCAAGCCACACTCTGAGTGACCCTTTTGGGAGTGTTTAACTGTCTTGCTGATTTCCTGGTATTTTCTTCCTAGTAGCCTACTCCAGATAGACAAACATTGAGGTAGGCCAGAGACTGTGCGGGTCAGCGCATTTGGGGTCAGAGAGAGCTCAAGTGTCTCTGAGAGGGTGATGACAGCCCTTAGAAGCAGGAGAACTGGTCGTTCCGTGGATGGGCTTGTTTCTCTGGTCCATTTTTTTTTTTTTTTAATATATCTTTATTGATTTCAAAGAGAGGGAGGGAGAGGGAGAGAGAGAAACATCAATGATGAGTCATTGATCGGCTGCCTCCTGCACGCCCCACACTGGGGATCGAGCCCCCAACCCGGGCATGTGCCCTGACCAGGAATCGAACCACGATCTCCTGGATCCTAGGTTGACGCTCAACCTCTGAGCCACGCTGGCTGGGCTCTCTGGTCCATTCTAAGTTATCAAAGTTTATTCAAAGGATTTTATAAATATCTACATGTAGCAATCACCTGAATCTTTGGTGCAAGGATGATACAGTGGCCTGGCTGAGATAAGAAAATTAAAAAAATGTAGAGTTCAATTTAGAATCAATGAATATTATAGGGACAATTGGTAATACTGTCTGGTATTATTATTATTCCTTATTCTACTCCAAGGCCAAACTTACATTTCTAGAATTTTCTGTTCCAGGGAACTTAAGGGAGGCAGGAGATAAAGGGTCAGATGTGAGATTGGTGAGTGGGGCGGAGGAAGTGGTGGTGATGGAGAGGTGTGAGCGATGTGGGATGGTGGAGCGGGGAGGAAAGGATTCAAGAATGGGAACAGAGATGGTTGGGGGCTGCCTGACCTTCAACTTTTTTTAACTCATATACGTAAATATTTAGAAGCTATAAATCAAGCTAACAGGTGGTTAAGAGAATAATTGTATCCTGTGGTATTCTGAATGACCTGGAAGACCCAGTTTGAATGTAGAATTACCAGATTCTTCAGAAATTGTGGTCCACTGCCTGTCTCCTGTCTCCCTGGTCTTCAAGAATCCCAGCTCCTTCTTCCATTGCACACCATGCGGAGTCTCAGGTGCACATGTGTAGAGGCCCCAGCCCTATGCACAAGCTCTGGTCACATCCGCACACCCCAACTTCCTGGCAAACATGCACCTCTGTCCACCCCTTGGGCCTCAGGATACTATACTGGCCACATGGTTCTTCTTAGGGGTTTGAACCCAGGGAAAAGGCCCACAAAAGCAGTGACAGTGAGAATGGGTACAATCTATGAGAAGGAGCAGTGTGGGAAGGGTTCCAAGTTGGCACATCCCCTGGATGTATGGCCTCCCTGCCTCATGCAGGGAGATAAGGCTGGAGAAGGGCCAGAATGAGACTCTTGAAATTGCATAAGTCCCCTTTGCCCAGGTCCAGGGCTGGCACTAAATGGCAGAACTGTCCAGTGTTCCCACGCTTGTCTAGCACGTTGCAGTGGACCGTACTGGGCTGACCACAGGCATCTCTGCAGCCACCAGGGGAGACAAATGCAGAAGCTTTCCTTCTCTTCATTTTCTAGGCTCCAGGAAAGATTCCAGTTGGCCCAGGACCTGAGACAGGACCTGAGACAGGACCTTCCAAGCAGGACAGAGAGAATTTCTCAATTTCCCTGGCTAGTGGGGAGCTCAGAGTCATATTTAATTTGGTTTACAAAAATAAAGTCATGTGGCAGGTCCTGTACTACACTGTAGTGTGATACGTACATGGAAAATAACACATAAACCTTACTATTCAGCTTCTGAAGCCTTATAGAACTCTCTTACACCTGCGTGCTGCTCTGCTCACGTCTCTCCCTGTGTGTGTTAGTCTTATGCGTTATAAATTCCTTAAACACATGAAGTGGTTTATACCTCATTGGGTTCCTAGCTGAATCCACCGCAGTGACATGCACACATCAGACATTCAACAACTCATTTGCTGAACTTAACAGAATGTTTCAGAATTCAACTTAAGAGTGAGTGGTTAAGAACATATGACTTTATCCCAGTGTTTCTTGGAACTAGCGGTCCCCCCCCCCAGTTCTGTACTAATTTACATAAAAACACCTATTAAGCTTTATTTTAAAGTAAGTAAGGGAGATCCTTTCAAAAATTTAATGAAGCTTTAGTTCCCCAAACGAGTTTTTGGTAAATTCCTATGATGTATAACTTTTCTATAGTAGAGTGAAATTAAAGAAAACAAGAACTAAGTTGTAGGCAGCTAATAGCAATGACAGCTTCTGGCATTTTTTGCTCTTTGTACCTTTAAAATAGATGTTTTCTTCCTTGTAGAGACTTTGTGGTATGGAAGTATCCTTAATATGAGGACAGAGATCACATGTAGAAAAATAACCTTATCTGGTACAAAATATAGCTAGAGAGCATTTGTAACAACTGGATGCTTTACAGTCACTTTTAGGCAATGCTTATAAATGGCATAATAAACTTGACTATGACTTGGTGAGATTGGTCAATGGGTGTTTAGGCAACCAGCTCAGCTGCTGCGCTGGGCCTCTGACCCAGCAACCAGGCCACAGGGGCCACACTGAGCAGTTTGGCCACATAGAGATAGGGTCTATTTGTTTGCAATAGAGATGCATAGTCTTCATGTCTTTATAGATAAGCCAGACTTCTTTTATGTAAAATGTCTTAGCCGATGATGTGGAAATGAATTTTCTGATTAAAATGGGGCTTTGCATAGAGATAACAATGTATGCAATATATATTGTTATTTCAGTTACTGAGAGCATGGGGTGATAGCCAATATTCTTAACAACCAGTAAGGCAAGAGCACCAACCAATCAGAACAGGAAATGAGGCGGCCACCATAGTTTGGACAAGAACTTGAGTTTTCCCTTGCTGTTCCCAAACACAGTACAACTACTTGGGTCATCCACTCCTTCCCTTCAGGAGCTGTACATCCACCCAGGAGCATGACAACCATCATAGCTTCCCAGCTATCATAATGAAAGGAAGCAGAGCAGATATTTTAAAATGTTGTCCCAGGCCCTGGCCGTTGTGAATCAGTTGGTTGGGCGTCGTCCCATACACAGAAAGGTTGCCGGTTCAGTCCCTGGTCAGGGCACATGCCCAGGTTGTGGGCTCAGTCCCCAGTAGGGGGCGTGCAGGAGGCAGCTGATCGATGTTTCACTCTCACACCAATGTCTCTCTCTCTCCCCCTCCTTTCCTCTCTCTAAAAAGCAATACAAATATTTTTAAAAATAAAATACTGTCCCAGGATGTTGTGGGCCCACCTATAGGTCACAATGTATTTAGCTTGTAGAACAAAAGGCTAAAAGACCAAAAGGGGGGAAGGTGAGGTGTGGTGTGGTATCTTACTCACACTTCCACTGCACTCCCTTAACGGAAACTTCCTCTACAACACCCAGAAGAGGGAAGGAAGCTGCTGGAAAATTACGAGTTTGCAGAAATGTTTCTCAGCTTCTAGATTTTGAAGAAAGTGTCCACCAATTTGAATGGATGCTATCAGCAAACCCGAAATCTGTAGCTGCTCTGTAGGCTGCAGCAGCTCTCTGTCGCTGTGCCTGGCTGTTCTGGCGGCAGCTCCGGTGGGTCTGGCCAGGATGCCAAGCCAGAGACACGCTGGAGGTCAGGGCTGCGCTTGGTAGCACGCTGGCTGCCGGCCTGTTGTCCTCGGTTCTGTCTGAGCACACAGGCCCAAATACAAAAACAAGTGCTGTGTCATTTCATCATAAACACTTTGGATTTATTGTAGCATTTATTGAATGCATTTCCCCTTCTGTTGAGAAAACTTGTTTGACTTTAAGAAGTCCGCTAGTGAATTCCAGCGGGGGGAAGGCACCGATCCACTGCTGTTCCTCAGGGCTGAGTGAAATACACAGCTCTGCTTTGCTGAGAAAACCTCTTGGCTCAAGAGAAAGATGGTTCTCAAGATTCTACAGTGGTGTATTGTACTGTGTGTTCACTCTGGAAAAAAGCATTTGTAGCCTTATATTAAGTTAAACTAAAATAATTGCTTTTGCTTGTCGTATAGCTTGCTTTTTGGTAAAGTACAGTGACAACACAGACAATAATGATGAAAATGCTGACTTCAAATGAGATTTTGTTGACAATTTTTAATCAAGCAATCCGTGCAAACATTTTCTTTCTTCAACATTAGAAGGAAAAAAACCCCAAAACAACGGCCACACTTGGGTGCCTGGTGTCAAAACAGAAAATGCTTTCTCACTGCAACCAGATTTCAAAGCAGCGGAGCGCCGAGGCAGCGCCCGGCCCTCAGCAGCCCTCGGGATTGCTCGAGTGCAAGTCTCGCATGTAGGACTCGATAATGTTAGGAGGCACCCCCTGCAAGAGGAGCCTGCAGAAGGAGAGTCCACCTGCAGAGGAAGAAAGGCAAAGTCAAGACCGCTTATGTGAAAAAATCGCTGAAATAATGCTCGGGGACTAGCTGCCCGGAAATGCGACTAAGTACGTTCCAGTTAGTGACAAAGGTTCATTCAGCCCCTACTCCGACGCCTTTTCCTGGGGTTAGCACACTCAGAATTTAAAGCACTCGACATCTAGAAGGAAAAGCAAGTTCTGGCCAGACCGTGGAAGTCCTTTGTTCCCTGCTATTTATTATTCAATCTTAGTTTAAGTTCCCAACGGGGTGGGAAGTCCTTGTTGCTCTTTGAGAGGTTTGGGGATTTGCTACAGATTAAGTGGCAGAAAAAAATGTGCGCCATGTAAGGAATCAGCGGGAGGAAATGTTTCCGCCTGTTAACGTTCTTTTGAATTAAGCACAAAGAGCTCTGACCCAAGCACATTGGAGAAAAAGGGGACCTTGGCTTCTTACACGTTGTCAAAAGTGGAACAAATTGGAAATATTTTGTTAAAAACAGTAAAACCCATCCAATACCTTCTGCAGGTCAGAGAAATACCTGCCAATAGTTCACACTTACCTTTCACATTTCTGAATTATATTTAAAAAATAAAAGCACCCTTCACAAGAGAACCCATGAAACCACAACAATTCATGGTCCTTTAGAGAAGTACTTCACTACTTGCTAATAAATTCACGTCCAGACAAAAGCAGCATGCCATTTGAACATTCTTAACACTGCTTTAGTGCAAATTTGGAAGAGTCATTCTCCTTTTAAAAAAAGGTTTCAAGTCACATATTGGTAGAAATGATGCCACTTATGTACATGTCCATTCCCTGATGCAAGGAGCTCAGGATGCTTGGGTTTCACGCATTTTCATCCAGCTGAAATGCTTTACCTCATGCTCTACCGCATTCACGTCAACAGGAGATGGTTGTGCTGAGTAAGTACCGGTTGTTAATTTCAAGGTACTAAGATACAAATAAAAACTACAAAGTTAGATGTTTTAAATGGCCTGTTTTCATCGGATCGCATAGTGAAAATCATGCCATACTCCACAGGCACTGTGTGGCTTATGACAGCATAAGCTTCATATGCCGAACCCATATGAAAGCTTACCTCGGATGGTAACACACATTCAGAAATCCTCACTGTGCTACAACTAGGGGAGAGAGAGAGAAGGTGTGAGCATTAATGAAGTGCTAAAACCAAAGCTGAGTGCTTGTTGGATGAAGTTATGGTCGCGATTACGATGAGGTGATTTCATTAATCCTTAGTCATGTGAAAGGTGTGGGAACAGAGAAGCGCATGGAATGAAGGGCAGGGATCCAGTCACTTCAGAAAGATCATTAATATGTAAAACACTTATTAATATGCACAACCACTTTGCCTAAACAGGTGGCAAAGCCAACGTGATTGTACAGTGAATATTTATGGTAAGAGCTTCCAAACTATTAGCTTAAAAAATAAAATAAAAATCCTACAACATATATATATCGTGTTTTTCAACAAAAGAAAAACATAGGTGATGGACAAAGTATTAGTGTACATATATATATGTTGAAATTCTAAAAGGCAAAATTATCAAGTACATGTAAATATTAGACTAGCGTATTCTATAGGATGAATTCTGAAATGATTATATATGACTAATCTAAATAAACACAAGGCTTAAACAGGCTAGAAAGTGACTATATATATAACTTACAAAACTTTTAAGAAACAGCCCCAGTTCCTTCCTCTTTGGGAAGCTTACATTACACCTCTGGGAATTCAGAGAGCACATATTGTAAACTCAGGCATAGATCTAGATCATTAGAGTTCACATCAAGTTGTTTACCCAGCCCCAAAGAACTTCTTAATCCGCTCTTTCAAATGGGGGAGGGTCATATACTACAGGACTCATTTAATGCTTAATATATTTAGTAATGAGACCTAGAATTTTCTCTCCTTTTAAGTTCGTGAATATATGAAAAAATTTTAGTCCCATGAAAATATCTAAAATGTCCAACAGACAGATGGGTTACCCTACTGGTGAAATTTTCATTGGAAAATCTTAAATATGAAAGTTTCTAAATATTGAATCTTTTTTTAGTTGTGATCTCTGCCTATCAAAAATGCTCAGAACACTTTTTCTACAGCTTAGCAATTTAAAAAGATTTCAGTTTTCTGAATGTCAACAAGAATCTAAGGAAATGACACTGGAAACTATCTTAAAGGAAGGTCATATCTCTTTACATGTGAAAAATGAAAATATTACAGAAATGTCATTGGTTCCCAGGTGTTGATAATCTTATATCTAGAATGCAGTATCTTCAGATGTAGCCTTCTGGCTTTATTTTGGGGGACCTGAGCTAGGTTGCTTAGTTTTCTGACAAAACTTAGCTCCTACCTTACTTGATATCCTTGAATAATTTGGCCTTCCTAGTTCATGGCATAAACCCTGTATGCCATGAGCTGCTAAAAAATCTAATGAAAAGCGAATGAGAAAGTCAAGCTTTACATGCAAAGTGCGATTTCATGTAAGAGGAATGGAACAGAAAGTAGAAATATCCGGTGGGATGTGGATTTTTGAAACCTGTTGCTGCCCCTCCAGGAACAGTGGTTCTCCAGGGGAAATTACTCCTTGATATATCACTGTAGAATTAGAATATTTGTACCAGTATTTATTTGTTCTCAGTTCACATTTTTACCTTTATTTTTCACAGCTTAATTTGATTCAAGTCACCTATTATCAGACAACAATCTGACGATAAACAATTCTGGCTTTACTTTTAGGACCAAAAGCTTTTACCAATATATTACAACCGATATCTTACTATGAACTTAGGTACTAGAATACATTATTGATATTATTAAATTCAATTACCATATAATTCACTATGTAATTACTATAATACACTCAACAATAAAGATTAAAAAAAATAAAGTATTTGGATTAAAAAAAGGAATATATCATCTATATGTATAATATTATCTTTTATGGAGGACCCCAAATGTTGAACCGTCTATGAAATCATTTTATATCATTAGCAACATTTAGTTATTTTCTGAAACATAAGAACCAACAGTACCTTGGAATTAACCAGGCTAGGAGTTTAGAAACCAGATATATTTGCAACTCTATGACCATAATCTGCATTTAAAGCTAATAAAAACTAAAAAGTAATGTTTAAATTTGTAAGCACTATCTCAAGAGTAAGCTTTAAAATTCTAAGAATATTATGTTTTATATTTGATAGGAAAAAAAATTTTTTTCCCTTTCACTCAGTTATGAATCTACTATACCATATTACCTCAGGACCGACAGAGATCGTAAGAGATCATAAGAGAAATAATACTATATTTTAACAGTTACAAAAGGAAATTTTTTCTGTAAGTTTCTTTACTATTTTATACTAAACTTAGGATTAAAACCCTTTTTTTTTTTACATAAATACCATAAGCATTTACTATGTTTTTCCTAAAAATAGATATTGACGAGATTATCTTTCTGACTTTCAGGTCATAATTTCTTTATTATAGAGAGGTAGGAAAAAAGACTTTGGTTACCGCAGACAGGCAAGGCAATACAATAGGAAGGAGAGAAAAGACACTAGAATCGTGTCACCTACTGTCTCATGGTGTCCCAAAGTCAGTTTTGATTGTCAAGAAAAAACTTTAGTATAAAAATGATACTCAATATGAAAATTAAGATGACAGGTTATGCTGAAACTTTTCTACCACATCAATCTTTATATGTTTTCTTGATTTACATTGGTTGGAAACTAGTATAAATGAAATGCAGACCTGTAAAATGGAAGTTCTCTAGTGAGATTTTAAAAGCAACTGGTTAAAATATGTACATGCTACATTCTACATATGTAATAATCTACACCACATTAGCAAACTTACCCATATGTATGGAAGTTTCACAAAATAGTAAACTAATTAAAAATAGTGTAAATTCATATCATTAAATAAGTTTTTGTGCTAGGCTTCTATTTATAGATGGAATACATCACCAAAATAATACCCTCCTGACTTTATTTATTCTCACCATGCTGTGCACATACCAGCATTCCACTGTAATTAACATTTATTTAATTAACAAGAATTGCAAGAGATGAAGATGTCTACTTAAAAAAATCAAATAGCCTTCACAAATAAATCAAGAGTGAATGCAAGATGTAAAAATGTTTTTTCTTCCCAAATTCTCTTCACCCTTCCTCCTCCACCCCAGGATAATAATTAAATGGTTTTCTTTCATTTTATTCCATACCCAAAATCTCGGATGTCATACCTTTCACCTCCAGTTTGCATTCGACCTCCACTGTCCCGAGGTCATTGACTGCTTTGCAGCAGTAAGTGCCTCCGTCATAGGGGCTGGGCTTGCGAATCTCCAGTGTACAGACCCCTTGGTTGCTGAACATCCTGTATCTGGGGTCATCCACAATAGCAACTTTGTTTTTCATCCAGGTTATTTTGGGCTGAAGTTAATATTGAAATAAATTAGGTCAAAATTTATCTGTACTTAGCATATTAATAGGTCATCAAAGCCAGTGACAGAATTTTAAAGTATGGCTTAGAAAGAAAGCACATCTAAGAAGAATCCATATCCACTTGAACACTGTTTCTCTCAAATTAAATTAGGGCTTGGCAAGAGAACGAATGAGCAATTCTTTTGTTTGTTTGTTTGTTTACACTGTGGTGGATAGAAAGGACATCTCAGTAGCTTCTGAAGCTAATACATTTCTAGCGCCAGGATTACTTTAGCAAACCTGGTTCCCTTCGCTTCTGCAACATCATGCGGAGTTAGTGACCGAGTCTGCACTGTGAGCAGTTCCCAAGAAGCAGCCAGATCTGCTCGCAGGTCAGTTCTGGCCAGTCTTCCCAAATGGATTCAGCTGCATTTCAGTTTCCTCAGGCAGGAGACTATGTATTGCTGGGCGTTTTCCAGAGGACCTCCTAAGGTGTCATAACCATCTAATATTCTCCACTTCCTCTTCCTCATACTCTTTTCCAGTGATTTACGGGCTGCTTATGCCTCCTCACCATTTAATCTGTCCTCCGACATCTGTTTTCATCATCTGGTGGCAATGGCTTTTCTCTAACCAGAGAATTCAAGGTCTGTGATAACCCAGTTGCCCAGGGAGGTGCCTCCATTCTCCTTGACCTCTGAACTACGTCTGACATCATTGGCCTCCCACTGCTTTTGCCCACTGTCTTCTCCTTCCTTAAGCAAGTGCACAGCCTCCCCATTCCCCTTCTACCTCATGTGACTTTGCCCTTCTCGGACCCTAGAGGTGGCCCTTCTCGTCACACCATTCTCTTCTGCCTTCCGCCTTCCAAGGGGAAGCATTCGTTGAGGCTCCCCTGTTGGTCCTTGGCTTTTTGCTCTTTCCTCAATGGTTTTCTTTACCCTCTTTCCTCAATGGTATTCCTTTCTAGAGCTTCAACTCCAAGGGGTGGAATGTAGCACCCCCATGCCTGGAGGAGACTCCTGAGCTTAGAGTCACAGCCCTGGCCTTTGTCCTAAGCTCCAGTGAACCTCTCCTCTGCCTACTGGTCATTCCTACTTGGATGTACCAACATCACCTCCAATTAGACATGAATTCAGCATCTTCCTCCCACCCTCACTTTGGCTTCTCTGACCTTCCTATTTCTGCTCATGGTATATGTGGGAAAATACCACTGTTTGCAATTTTTCAAATTCTAGGGCTCCTTCCCTCGGTGGCCCTCAGGGACAGATCAGTATCTCTATGGGCGATGTTCATTAATTTGTTGTTCATGCCAACAACATGAAACCCTAAAACCTCTCTAATTCTCCTCTGTCAGATGTGATTTCTTCCTTCCTAGTAGTCTGTCCCCTTAATACAGCACATTTTAAATTCTGCCTGTAGTATAGTAGGTTTGCCTTAATCTATTATAGAAAACTTGATGAATCAATAGTACCACCTAACTTTTCAGGTGAAACAATATTACTTCCATCTCCTTACCTCTCCGTTCTTTTAAAAATAGGTAGTTTGGTTTTTTTCCTTGGTAGGTATCCCTTATTTAGTAAAGAAATATAAACATCTTTTACGACTACATTTAAATGGTGCACCTAATTTTCCACCAATGCCACCCCCCACTCCCAGATAAGACACAAATAGCAACTGGAGGGTGAGTTTGTATTATTACATTCATAATGTGGCAAATACAAAAGAGAGTTTGGGGTTAATTCTTAAATTTAACTAATGTAATAAAATAAAAAAAAGAAACACAGTACCTTAGGATTTCCTCTTACACTGCAGTTCAGAGTGGCATTGTACCCAGCTATAGCATAGGTGTTGACCAAAGGCTGAGTAAACATGGGAGCCTCTGTGAAGTCAAAGTCTTCATACACTGGATTTTTGTAGACTTTCCCTTAAAAACAAGCATTAGAAATATACAAATTGGATGGAGATTCTATTATTCTTGACATACTTTACTCGCCACTAAAACTTCCCTGACCTTAGAAAAACAAGTAAAAACATGAGTGAATAGCGCAGGGCATTCACTCTGGAGGGTATAAATGTACAGCCAGGCCCACAGGGGGCAGAGTGGTCATTTGAACTGAAACAAATATTGAGAAGAATTTGGTGTCAGAGCATTCTGATCCACAATGTGTTTTACTGTGACAGTGATGAGACAGGGCTTTCAGGAGAGTGGTTCATGAGGAAATGAAATGATAGGCATGGAATTCAGCTTCACCCATTTCACCGGTCTCGTGTAGCTACGTTGAAGGTGTCCAAGAATAGAAGTAACCCAGGCTCAAAATATCAATGTTTCTGCTTTTTCCTGTCCCTGTGATTTTAGGCATTTGTACACCTCCTGCCCAGAAGCTGGAATGAGTTACAACTTTTTTACAAAAATGCAATAATATAATTTTTCTCCAAAAAGTTACTTTTAAAATTAGTATTTACTTGGACATTTTTGCTATAATTTAACAATAGTCCTTTATCATTTTTTTATTCCCTTTCAACCACACTCTTTTTCGTTCAGTCTCCTCTAGTCACTGGAGACCAGTGTCTCTAGATGGTGCAGTGTGATACTGTGATTTATAATAAGAAATACACATTTGGTCTTTCTCCCCATTTCTGGCACAGAGCTCCTAAAACCTTTGAAATTTCCTAAGCGAGGAGAGCTAGAAAGGTGTCTTTTGTTATGTTAATGATGGCTTTTGACCCCTTCCAGGGACTGGGTTGCCGGGGAGCCAACCTTGTGATTAAGGGGTTGGACCTTTTAATCCTGCCCCCAGACTCCAAGAAGAAGAGAGCGGCTAGAGATTCAATCCATCGTGGCTGTGAAACGGAGCCTCCATAAAAGGCAGAAAGAACTGTTTGTAGAGCTCCAGACTGCTGACCCCGGGAGCTTCTAGGAGAGCAGGGGCCTCGGGGCCCATTCCCCACGCTCGGCCCATGCCCCTCTCCCACCCGATTCTCCGTGTTACAATCTTTTCTATTAAACCAGTGCTGCATAGACAGAATATTTCTGAGTTCTGTGAGCTACTCTAGGAGATTAATCAAACCTGAGGAGGGCGTCATTGGAACCTCCGATTTATACAGTCTGTTAGTCAGAAGCACAGGAGACAAGTTGGACTTGCGATTGGCATCTGAGGTGGGGACATTCTTCGGGGACTGAGCCGGTGACCTGTGGGATCTGACGCTCTCTCTGGGTGACAGTGCCAGAATCGAGTGGAATCGTGGGCTCTCAAGCTGGTGCCTAAGAACTGTCTGGTGGCATGGGGGCAACTCCCCCAAACCTTCCCTCTCTGGAACTGGGTCGGGAGCCCCCTTTTATCAGCCCACTGCTGACTCACCGTCCTTGGCAATCACGGCGCTCTCTTTAGTCATTGTCGCATTCTCACTGAGGCCACACATGTTTTCTGCAAAGACCCGGAAGTAATACTCGTTTCCTATGACCAGCTCGGTAATGGTGGCGTGGGTTCGGTGGTAGTGCTCAATGACGGTGAACCACTCCTGAAAGGAAAAACAGTTTTGAGAAAATCATCTGAAAATACACAACTATTCCAGCTGTTGATCAGAATCAATCACAGGGATGTTTCATTCACCAAAAGAAAAATAGCACTAATTTTTATATCAAGAGCAATAACACCACACATTTAATACTTTATAATTAATTTACACTTGACTGTATAATTTAATCTTCATTTACACATTAGAATCATATACCCTAGATGCCAACTACTACCTTTATAGTTTCCTCATAACTGTGCAGTCTGTCATCTATCTATCTACTTGTCTATTTATCTATCTTTTGTATAACAAAATAAAATTATAAAATTTTAGTGCCAACATATCTATTCTGAGGAAGAGATGATGCTAAATCGCCAGAGAAAAATTAAAATCATTCAACAAATTTGCCTAATATTATCAACACAGGTTCTTTTGGGTCTTTGCTCAGATATCACCTCCTCCCTAACTGTCCAGCCTTCCATTACTCAGGTCACACCCCGTCACCTTAACCTGACAAAGTTTTCTTCACACCACTTGCTACCTTAAGTTATATTATATATTTATTATTTTACTTGTTTATTTTCTGTGCCCACCCATCACTGGCATGAACACACCAGGATGCTAAAAACAGACTTTTCTTCTCACCCCGTATCCCCAGTGCCTGTCACAGTACCTGCCACATAGTAGGTACCATGCACAAATAAACGTTTATTGAATACTAGAATGAATGAGTGAATGAATGAGTAGCTTAAATGATTTTTCTTCATTTTTTCCCTCACCATACCAAGAAATAGAGTGGTCTCAAAATTTATGTGGCAACCACTAGAAATTGCCTTTGTACTACATATGTTTGGGACCACTAATTGAGAAAATACACTTGCTGACAAAAAAAAAGAGTTTATAAAGGGAAGAATTTTCCTTCAACTTTCAGGGGCCATAATTATGTATTTTGTATATTTTAAATCAGCAAACAAATGTATTATGCCCGCCTTTATTCCCAAAGCACTTTATGCAAACCTTTATTCCAACATTTATTATATTGGTTTGTCATTTGGTTTTATGTCTTTCTTCTTGCCAACACTGTGAGTACTCTAAGAGCAAGAGCTGACCCACCCTCCTTCCTTCCTCCCTCCCTTCCCCCCTTCCCCCCTTCCTTCCTTCCTTCCTTCCTTCCTTCCTTCCTTCCTTCCTTCC